TTGTAGAGCGATGATACTTGCAGAATAATGCACTTTATTGTCAATAATTAATCAAACGAAATTAACAAAAGTTCGCTGGCGATTAAGCCCGTCGATTACGTTCACGCGACAAGCGTCTAAATCTCGCAAAAAAGGAAAAGATTCGAGAAACAGCTGATTTCGAAGCCCGAAACTAAGCTTTCGTACGCTTGAGACGAAAAATGAGAAAACTAATTACTAGCACTCAGCGACTTGAAGCGTCTTCTCACTCGGAATTGAAGAAAGCTTCTGGTTTTGCAAAAATGACCGAGTGAAACGCCTGTCCGGTTGATCGGCTTGCGACCGCCTTTTTCACATCGGAGAGAGGGCCAGATGATCGATGATGATTCGTGCAGATCTAAACTCAAGCGCCAGAGAGGGGAACGCTATCTCTGATGATTTTGAAATTTTCGTCTTTTCAACGCTTCTCTCATGGCCTTCGCTGTTAGAAGTAAAAATAAAAACAATAGCAGCAGCTCACTCGAGATTGTTTACCGAGGCATGTTTTTCCGCGGCGAACGCTAAACATGGTCATATTCTGCCCGTTAATGTGAATTTGTTACAACGTATACGATAACGAATTATAAAGACAAAATTATAGAAATATATGACGAAAAAGAAATTATAAAAACGACATAACGCACGCAGCGCGAAGCTCGATCGTTAACACAGTCATTTTTTAAACATTTTTTTTTTGATAATGGGTTGAACTACAAACGAAAATATTTTTACTACAAACAACTACAAACGAAGTACTATCATTTTACTTAATTAAAACTTTATTTATTAAAAGTCGGGTGCCAAGTTCACATAGGTGCAAAACGATGCGACGAAATACGACACGATGCGACGCGATACGATGCTCTATCTGTTTCTCCGTTGTCCAACTATAATACATCTCTTTTATCCTCGGATCGATTCTCTTTTAACACGCGACAAAGTATTTCAAAAGTATGCGACTAACGAGAATATTTTCCGAAGCACGATCAAATAAAAAGGTCGTTTGATATTGATTTTTCGCAAGAATTTTTCATCGCAAGATTACCTCTCTCGCTGTGAGTAGTAGCCCCTTTTAACACTGGAGATTAAATTTGAGAGAAATAAAGATGACCTGATCGAAATGTGCACGATAAATGACCATGATGCAGCACGCTGCGCAAAAAGATTCCTAGTTCCGTTGCAAAATTAAAATAATATATGTACCGGCGCTGTTGCGCAGCTCTCCACGCGGTTCCAATTTATCCGTATTATCCGCCCCAGCCTCACGACGGAGACACCTTAGGCAAGGCTGCTGCCTCGCCGGCAAACGACAATGTCGCGAGGGATGATATGGAGGGTCGTAGGGAAGCTCGAGAAGTCGGAAAGGGAGAAGGGCATTATCGGAAAAGAGCTTTGCCGCTTTATTACGCGATGTCGAGGACGAGGGCAAACATTTGTAGCGTATGCTCAAATATTTTGCCACCGAGGCCGCTCCCGCCCCAGCCTCCCCTCTCACCCCCTCCCCCCCCCCCCGTCCCTACCCCTCGCCTGCCGCCGGCTCCGCATTGACCTGCGACTGCCACCCCTCGGGCTGAAATGGACCCCATTACGAGAGGAAGTATAGAACGTCGCATTCGCGCCCGAGAGAGGCTCGATACGCGTATACTCTGCGGCTCATAGCTATAATCCGTGTTGTAGCCCGAAGGAAGATCCGTTCGAAGACAATGCCTGTTCACGGTGTGTCGCGCCAGAAACCCGTAGTCAGCTTTACGATATTCGCGTGAATTTCGCGCGAGTCACGCCCAGAATAGACTTCGACTTTGATTCCTCGGCGAGAAATGGATTTCTCTTACTTTCGTGAGAATACACGCGCTGCACGGAGGAAATATCAATTTTACCTGGACATTCCGCCTGATCGTAAATTCACGTGCACACTCCGCGCAATCCGGAATCTGTGTCCTTTCCAATCTGAAATTAATTATTTAAATCTCGCTTCGAGAAGTAAAATATTATGTGAATATAATCAGATCAAGTTTCGAAATAGTGAACGCAGGCAGCGAGCATATGCATCGAGAGTATGGCAAATGTACGTATGGTATTGGCGAAATATGTTTCTTTGAATAACAAAGAGCTAAAGTATGTATCGTCAAACAACAAAGAGCTAAATTTAGATTGAAAATTCACGTACGTATGTATATGTGTGTGCGTATACATATATGTTTCGGTGGGGTCGTGGTCACATTATGGCGGCTAGGTCGAACTCCGAGAGGAGAATCGGGGTAAAATCGATATCGCGTGTTTTGTGTACCGATATTGCTTCCCGCGACAAAACTAGGTACACTCGAGAGCGGCCAATTGCGACGAAAAACTTTGACCTTTGAAGGCGTGCGTTCGACGGAAGTGGTTTCTCGAGATTCCGACGCCGTCGAGTCTGAATGAAAACGATTATCTCAAATCAACGAGCGTGGGGGGGGGGGGGCGGTTTTATCGAGCATTGTGGTTTTAATGTTTCGTGAATATTCATGTGGACCACCGAACTCCGAACGTACGCGGATCACGAATCAAATTAGTAATCAGTACAACTTAAAAAAAGTTCCGCAAGTCATAAATGATTGACAAATTCCATAAATTGTGATAGAATTTTTAATGAAAGTTTTTACTGTTATTTTTTCCCCCGTCGTGCACGTTTGTAAGAGCGGTGTTCACATCCCGGGGTCAACCGCAGGATTAACCGTGGTTATTAGCGCGTACTAGCAACAATTAACTCTTTGTCGCGTGTTGATTTAAAGGGAAAACCACGGCGCGGTTTGTCTTGCGTCGGCCGCGATGCTGTTTTCAACGCGCGAAATAGCAAAGTAAAAGTCGCGCGAGCGAAACTCGTCAGCCGGGAGTTAATTTGAAAATTTCAAGAAAGCCAGAGTGTGTTGCGTGACAATATATCGTGCGTTAATTATGACGTCCTGTGTTCTTGCCGCGGAAAGGGGTCAGAGAATAATTACAAACGGTTACATCGCTAGGCGGGTTGTTTCAGAAAGACGTCCGACAACAGCGCGCGTTGTGCTTTATATAACTTGCACGCGGTTTTTCTTCATCGGGGAGTTTAATCGGCAGCTTAATTAACGAACTATTTTAATTAAAGTATTAAAGCATATTGAGAAATTAACTTTTGATCGTGTAAAGTCAAAAGTTCATTCTTCAAACAATTTTTAACTTTGCGCTTTTAATAAAACTTTGTTTTATCAATTAAAATGGAAAATTTTTAGCGGGGAAAGAATTTCGATTTCGAATTCGTTCAAGAATAGGTTCTCAATGCCGGTAAATATCTCTTTCTCTCGAGAAAGTGCTCGTGTACGGCTGCACGGTAAACCGTTTTTCCGCTCGCGGTGTTAAATAATCGATTTACGCGCTCGAAGAGAGTCACCGGCGGTAAATTAACTGCGCTCGTAGGAAGCTTTCTTCGAGTGTATCACGATGCAGGTTACATCCCCGATTCTGCGACAAGAGGGAAAAAAGAACGCCGGCGAATTTAACGGGTGGATGAGCTACAACACGTCGTGATTATCTCGCGTGTCGGAGTATACGAGAGAAGCCCCTCGACATTTTCCGTGAATTTACGTTTTCCACTACACGGACCACGGGAAATTAAACGTCGATGGGAATGCCGATTTAGCTCTAGAAATGCCGGACTGTTGGTATACGAGAAAGCTGTCTCTCCCGCGCGAGATAACTAAAATCCGACGTTTATTCCCGCATTTACTTTAAGAGGGAGTTATTTGTTTATAATACCGTTTTGTGAAAGCAAACACGGGGAGAAAAAATCTTGTTTCGCGCGCGTACCGGCCATTTCTCGTACAAGGCGTTTCACTTTTTCATTATTTTTCCTCATAATACGCAGTTGGATTTTATGAATAAATGTCATATTATAATATTTATATTCAAGTGCGCTCGTAAATTATATTTGATATTAATACGGAGACAAGGTAAACTAAATTTTAGAACCGAGAGGTATGGGAACGAGGATTTTCCGGGGCGCCGGCGCGCCGGAGAACAGCGTGTTCTCGCCATTACCGAAAATTCGTCGCTTCGATTACGTACGGTCAACGGATAGCGTGCTCAGCACATATAAGCAGGGGAAAGACATCTTGCATGGTCGAGCAGCAACGGCGGCCCGACCGACAACTGCGCGGCGAGAGATAGCAATTTCAGAGCTTGCACCGGCACACTCGACGACGTGTTCCTTCCGCGATCCCGACGACGCGATAGGAGATGAATTAAAGAAGCGCTGATTTAGCGCGTCCGGCAACACGGCGCGGCGCAGCTCCATTAGCAAAAATTAGCATACGCTCGCTCGCCGAAACGCGTTATCACGCGAAATGGCACGGAACCGGGAATTATTTTCTCTAATCCAATTAGAAGGGGTGTGGAGGCGGAAGAGGAGGAGGGGGGGGGAGGAAGGGCGGAAGAACGACGAGGGGGGTAAGAGGCGATAAAAGCTCGCCCTCTCACCGCCGTCGGGGGTTGCCTCGTCCGCAGCAATCGGTCTTCATTAGCCCGGCACGAACTTTTCCTCCGGCTTAGCTCAAATTAAGCTCGCATGCTCGCGCTAATCGCGCGATAACGAATTACTGCGTACGGGCGGAGCCGCGGAATCTGAGAAGGGGGCAACGATGAGCGGTGTATTATCGAGGATCGAAACCGCCGCCGTCGGGAGACATCCGGCGGTGGACGAAGGAATCCGCTATCACACGGGACGACAGTTTGCGGATTGGAAAAGCGAGGCGAGCTATTAATCCCCGGCTGCATCGCGTTTTCCGGCTGGCTCGGGGCTGGAAAGGACGGAGGGCGGGAGGGAAGTGGAACTGGCGGGGGTGGACCGGGGCCGAGACGCGCACTCTTGCTCGACGTTATCCGTACGGCGTCGTTTGATGGGTTCCAATATGTACTTTTGGGATTTTGTCGCACAGAACGGTTCTTAACAAAGATCATCTTTTCTGTTTATACAGGGCGCACCTCGCGTTTCCTTTCGCCTATGGATTCCTCTTTGAGCAATTTGAAGAGCGGAAAACCTTTCTCACAAAGGGATACGTGTCTGTCTAAAAAATGATGGCAGCGATCGAGTCTTCTTCAGAGGGATACGTAAGTAGAAATGAGCAAACATATTATTTTTTAAATGTATATTTATTCGGGATTATATATGTATATACGCGAACCGGAATTTCGCGATAGTTGCGATGTACAAAACAGTGTGCGTAAGTGAGAATTGCGAGATGGCGAGTGCATTGCGAGTGCATTGCGAGTGCATCGAGAGCGGGGTCGGATTTGTCGAGGCCGGGACAAAAGAAATTCCGGTGGGATGGAAGACAATGGCGCAACAACTTGCAAATTGAAACACTAAAAAAACACGATTAATCTCGCTCGCATCACGTTTTCTCGCCGCAATTGTGAGAAACAAAGCTCTCGGATGGAGCTCGACCTGATGCCGCTGCGCATTTCGCTCCGATTCTTTCGATGAGGTAATTTCAAGGAGGCTCGAGTTTCGTCTGATTTCCGTGGATAGAGAACGAACACGAATGTTTACACTCGTCCGTAAAAGTGCCCGCTGGCGAAGGAAATTTAATAGAGGGAGAGATCCCGCGTTCGCCCGTTTTTGTACACAAAGAGCAACCTCCAATTTTTATGCCCGCTCGCCATCAAACAATCGCGAAAATCACTTATTGTTTGCTGCTCTGTTTACTCACATGCATGAACGATTCAATCAATATGGTCGGGCTAATTTTTGTGAACTTTTTTGTCGTCTAGTTTATTGAAATTGTTAAGCGAATTTTGATCGAAATCGTGGCGGAAACGCGATCAGACAATTTTTCAGCTTTTTTCTGATTTCTTTCATATCGCGCCCTGTACATGACGATCTTCGCGAGAGAAGCAAAACTGATGACGATCGGGAAAGAGAGAAATGGTTTCTCGCACGGGGAAAACTTTATTAAACACGTTGAGCGCGTGGATCGGTAATGACACCAAGTTAGCTTTTCTCGCGCTACAACGATTACCTACGCGAAGTTTCTCAGTTAGATTCCCACACCTTCCAACTTCTAGGACATTAAGTTTCCGAAACTTCGTTTGATTTACGTCGACCGTGCGCATCGGTCTGTAACTACGAATATATCATTATCAATTAATCGGCGCGCTTTACAATCATTGAATGTAGTAGAAATACGCGAATTCACGGTTTAATTAAATGTTACAAGGATATCCGACTTGATGAGTGCTTGTATATTTAGTCAGTCGCCTGAGTTTAATTTGTCCGCACGGAAACGCAAAATATATTTGCGTTTATGAGCATATGTACCCTTTATGCCTTGAATATTTCAAAATATGAATTTTAAATTGTTCCATCAAACACAAAATTTTAATGATTGCTTTGCATAGTGAAGAATGCGCTATAATTTAATTTACTTCACAATATAAAATTACCTCACATCTTTGTGGATACATTGTTACTAAAATACATTTTTTTTTGCAGTCGGATAATTGCGAAAATATATTTTCTTTTTTTTCAAAATTTATATTTTAAACGAAGACAAATAACTTTAACGAACAAAATGCAACAGCACAGGTGAAAGCCGGTGAAATAGTAAACATTTTAAATCGGAGAACTCGCGTAATGGAATTAATCAGATAGGATCCAAGTCAAGTTTGACCGAGTCGTTAACTCGATCGGGATCGACACCGGTTAAAGCAGACGACGCGAGAAAAGTATTTAAGGATCGCTTACTGTAATTGAGCTCCATTCCGCCGCCAACGAGCCTTTCGGCTCAAAGGCACTTCGTTAACTGCTTTACATTATCGCGCGCAACTCATTACTTCTCATAAAATATTTTTCCCTCGCCTTCCTCATTACCAGCGATCATTAACCGCGATTGGAACAGTGCTACCATTCGCGCGATTCAGTTAAGCGAATACGAGGCAAATTTCAACGCGCTGCGAGACGCTTTCGGATAACAAAATTAAAGCTAAACAATATTTGCATTATCAATTACTGCGTCGTGTGATAATATTGTCAGCGAAACATTTTCGTCTAATTTGATCTCCAATCGCTCGTGTGATCTTTATTTGATTTTTACTGACAGTGAATTAACAGACGTAAGAGCTAGTTTGTTAAAAAAGCATCATTCTGCATTTATTTAAATTATTAAACACGATAGAGACATAATTATTAATTTTCACACACGACTTCGAAGTAGAGCAATAATTCTACGTATAAGAAAATTAACGAGCTGTCTTCATAGAATTACGATGCACTCGCCTGCCAAGATTCTCCAGATCGCTGCCAGTGGCGGGGTCCCTTTATAAAAGTTGACGAAAACCACACGAACGGCGGCCTCGAAAATTGCTCAGGCACGGCTGTCCTGTGAAAACTATCCTGGCGTTTTCATGCGGCGGTGTCGGGGACGCGTAATTTCGTAAAGTAGTTAGTCGCTGTGTGCGTGGGGCTGAATATTTTTTCGCTCGCTCATTTTTTTCTTTTTTCTTTCCTCCCCTTTTTATTGCAAATGCGCGTCTCCTCTCACGATGCGGTGCTCGTCCTGAGAAGCGCATCGGCGCTCCGCTTCCGATAAAACAGCCAAGGTGATCCGTAAAGCGGTAAGTAAGCTGCCGAGTCCCGGCTGGAAAATGCAGATGCAATTAAGCTGTGACAACCCCGGCGCTTTCTCTCTTTCCCCCCCCCCTCCCAGACATTTTCGCACGGGAACGCGATATTTTCTATCGCGTCGCTGCGCGATGAGCGATTTCGCGTAATTAGATGGAAGATGTTACTCTCCCGATTAACTTAATCCACTTCCACGGTTGACACCGAATGGCGATACTCGTCGGCGAGCTGTAGGGAGTAATTTAATGACGTTGTTTAATGTAATATGCGAGCGAGAGCAACTTTCACATTCGGGAGTCGAAAATGTCAATCCTGCGATAAGTCGCGCGCGATTCGATTTGTATTATTAATACGCCGACGCGAAAGACCAAATCGCACGCGAAAGCACCCGCGCAGCTAGAGCTTTGCTCAGCCGTTATGGCAACATAAATGGCTGCGACATTACTCTTTCCAGTCCGGGCGCATGTTTTATTCGGCGACGTCGATGGAGATGATCTGGCTATACTGCTTAGTGCAAGAACACGAATGCATTTTGTAGACAATATATATGGCCGTTGTCGCGCGTAGCACACAGTTGGCTTTCGCGATGCGATTTTACCCGGCGTATACCGGTGGTGGTTGGGGGGAGGGGGGGGGGTTGAAGGACTAGAGAGTGGGGCGGAGATAGTGAACAAAAGTCCGAGGATGGCTCCCGAGGGCTGAGCGGATGTTGGTTCGGTAGTATTGCTTTGGTTTGCTTTACAATTCAAAGAAGGTCCGCGACTCTTTTTAAGTATTCAGGATGCAGCGTCGTCGTGGGAGTGCGACAGTAAGTGATGGTTTTCGCGACCACCGTTCTTCCAGGACGGGGAGGACGCTCCAACTGCTCGCTGCACGCGCTTGAGACGTTCCGTCCAATAAAGTTACGCCCGGGGAGAAGCAACGTATTAATTGAAATCCATTTATGCATCTCTGCCCGAGAGAGAGAGAGGAGGGGGAGGGGGGGGGAGGAGGTAGGGCGTC